CCTCCCTCATTTCTACCCTTGCAAACTTTCTCCCAACTTAGCCATGCTATTTTATTTTTCTCCTCCGTATAACCCCACAAGAATTTTCTTTGTAAGCACACAAGTTCATGAAGCACGATCTTAGGAATTTTAAAAATGGACATAAAATAAATTGGGAGGGCAGAGAGAACAGACCTTAGCAATGTAAGTCGGCCACCAATCGACAGGCTTTTCGCTTTCCAGACTGCTAGCTTTTTATTAAAGTTGTCAATAACTGGAATCCAAGGCTTTCGTCTGCACATACTGTCACCTATTGGCATCCCGAGGTAAGTGAAGGGAAACTTTCCAGATTTGCAATTAAGATTAGCTGCTGTCATTCTCCTCCATTCATCCGAAACACAGCATGAGTACAAGACACTTTTGTTGAAGTTAATCTTCAAGCCTGAGATCAGTTCAAACCATCTCAAAATTCCTTTCACTGCTTTAATATTGCTCGGTTCTGCTTTCCCCATTATAACAGTATCATCAGCGAATTGGAGATGTGAGATGTTAAGATCTCCGGAGCCTACTGGAATTCCTTGGAATAGTTCTTTGTTGACAGCTGATTCGATTAACACATTCAGCCCTTTAGCCACAATAAGAAAGAGGAATGGAGCAATCGGATCACCTTGTCTTAACCCCTTCTCCATTTTAAATTCTTCCGTTGGGCTTCCATTAACAAGCACTGATACTGAAGCTGTTTGCAAACATTCCTTAATCCACAGTCTCCATTTCTCCCCAAATCCGAGCCTTCTCATCATTTCATCCAGGAAATCCCAATTCAGACTGTCGTATGCCTTTTCGAAGTCTGCTTTGAATATGAAGCTGCTGATTTTTTTCCTCTTGATTTCCTCGACCACTTCATTGAGAATCAGAATACCATCTGTGATCTGTCTTCCTCCCAAAAATGCTGATTGTGTCCCACTTATCAGCTTGGGTAATACTTTCTTAATCCTATTTGCCAGCACTTTCGAAATGATTTTATAAAGACTACCAATTAGGCTTATGGGTCTGTAGTCTTTTAAATCAATAGGATTATCTTTTTTTGGGATAAGAACAATAAATGAAGAGTTTATCCCCCTTACTAGTTTGTCGTTCCTGAAGAATTCTTGGACAAACGCGACAATGTCTTTCTCGATCACATTCCAAATGGATTTGATAATATGGAAACTGAATCCATCAGGGCCAGGAGATTTGTCTCCTCCGCAATCCCACACTGCTTGTTTCACTTCTTTTGCTGGCACTTCTCTTTCTAGCCAAACGCTGTCTTCTTCATTTAGCTGCTTGAACTGTAATCCACCCAGTTTCGGTCTATCCCACTGCTCTTCTTGAAAGATTTTGTTGAAGTATTCACGCACTTCCTGCTTCACCACACTCGGTTCCTCTATCCAGGCTCCATCTTTGTATATGCCCCGAATCATTTTTCTCCTCCTGTTGCTATTCATTATTCTATGGAATAGCTTGGAATTAGCATCTCCTTGCTTTACCCAGTCGAGCTTTGTCTTCTGTTTCCATGCCACTTCTCTTCTTTTCCATGCTTCCCATAATTCACTAAAGCCTTCCTTTCTTAGCATGATATCCTCCTCTGTTAATTCGCCATCCTCATTCTTATTGTCAACTTCATTGATTTTTGTTGCTGCCTCTGCAATTTGCTTCTCAAAACTTCCGAAGACTTCACTGTTCCATTTCTTCAGTTTGTTCCTCAATCTTTTGAGCTTCTCTTTGCACACATACCCCTTCCATCCCTCTACCCCTGCAGAATTCCAGTTTTCCTCTACCATTTTGACAAATTCTGGATGTTGGTCCCAGCAATTTAAGGTCCTGAAAGGTTTTGGGCCCCAATTGCTATTGACCTTCTTCAACATCACTGGACAATGATCAGATGTCGTTCTATTCAGTCCAATTTGGCAACAATCACCCCAAAAATTAATCATACCATCAGATAAAAGAAATCTGTCCAGCCTACTCTTTGCTGACCCATCACTCCTGTACCAAGTAAATTTCCTTCTTGTTAGTGGTAAATCAACCAATCCTGCAATTTCAATGAATTCGTTGAGATCCTCCCCGTAGTTAGAATGCTCGGATCTTCCTCTTCTCTCATCCGCTGATCTCACACTGTTAAAGTCTCCGGCAATGCACCAGCAATTTTCTCCTTCCTCAATCAACTTCAATAACTCTGTCCATGTTTCTAGCCTTTCGTTCCTGTTACATGACGCATAGACATTCACAATGCAGCACTTCTTCTTCTTCTCTCCCCAAAATCCATATATAGCTAATGCGCCTGGAATTTCCACAACTGATTTTTTTACAAAAGCCTCATTGTCCCATACACAAAGTAGACCACCTGATCTACCCACTGATGCCTTATATACCCAGTCGAAATTATCTCTTCCCCAAATAGACATGCAAAATTCCTTGTCAATTCTTTCCATTTTTGTTTCCTGGAAGCAAGCTAAATCAATTTCCTCCTTTCTAATCAAACTCCTCACCTCTTTTCTTTTGACCGAACTACCTAACCCCCTCACATTATAAGAGATCAACTTCATTGCTAAAATTTCTGGAAATTGATAACAGGCCTACCGTTATTGTTGGTGGGCATGCCCCCGTCTGTCCCTTTCTTCCATCTGGCTAAATCTTTCCACAATCTGGTCTTCTCTGTTGCAGATCTCGATCCCTAAATTGCCCCCGAATTCTAGAGTCTTCCTTGCCTCCTGTAATAGCATGCCTTCCTTGATCCTTTTGTTGTTGCACACAATATCACTGTCAGTTATTGAATCTTTCGGTGATGTACCGCCCATGCTGACCAGCTGTAGCAAAGCTCTTCTTCTTCCGCTCGTCGTTCCTGTCACCGGCTTCGGTATTTCTGCTTTCTTTTCTTCTGTTATCTTGAAGCTTTTGATGGGGCTTTTAGGAGTTTTAAGCCCACACCTCCCTTGGACGTCCGGTTCACTTTCTCCTTTGGCCGAATGGGCCTTGCTTTTGCTAGCAAGTGGGCTTTTGGATTGGGCTGTTTCTTGGACAACCCCTTCGTCTGGTGATGGAATTCTGCTGAAGCTGGTATGGCTCCCATTTGCACGCTCCTCTCTCTGTTTTCCTTGAATGTGATTAGACAGAAAGTCCTCAATTTCTTTGCTTTCCTCAAGAAATGTCTTTGAGACACACAATTTGTCAGGATAATTAATGCTATTGACATGTCTGCAAGGTGTTTGAATTTCCTCTTCCTCTTGACCGTTTGAAAAGTTGCCGTCAAGCTCGCCGGAATCATCACCGAAATTGAAAGCCGTTGAGCTTACTTCTGAATCAACACTGGAATTATCAATCTTATTCAGCCACCAAGGGTCAGATCTCCAATTTTCCTCCACAAGAGTAATGTTATAACTATTATTCTTCACTTTGAGCAAGAATTCTTCATTAATCCCT